ATTGAAGAGGGAACCATAATATTCTGTCCCCTTACAGAAGGTCTTTGGTTTCTTGAGGCAAGGAAATCCATGATGACTACTATATCCAAAATATTTTACTATTAATTATTAATCTGAAAGAATGCCAACCTGTATAAGTTGTTAATCTTTTATAATCAACATTTCACTGATATTTTAATAGTTTGTTTTCAACCTTGAAGGTTTTTGAATGACCTGCACATTTTAAATAAAATATCGCATTTATGAAATTATCCCTCACCCTTTTCTTGGCAACTGTTCATCTCAGTGTTGTATCCAGAACCCCAGCAGGGGTTGCAGGTGGTAACTGAGGGTGAGTGCAGTTCCAGCTCTGATAATCCTAGATGTGATGCTTTAACTCTAGTTCTTTCTCCTTTAACTGGCCTCTCAGTCTTAAGATCTTGTAGGCTCTTGACAAAAAATGAGGTGTTTTAACTTCATTTCCACCAGAGGAAACCCCTTTATACTGTAACTTGTGATCTGTGTTTTGTATTATGGCTTTGTCTTTATATCTGATTTAATGGCTGTTATTTTAATTGAATTAAAATCCAATCCCAGTTCTTAGCATTTTATAGTTCCCTCTGTGGGCTATACCATATCTTTTTTTTTTTAAGATTATCTTTATTTATTCGTGAGAGACACACACACAGAGAGAGGCAGAGACACAGACAGAGGGAGAAGCAGGCTGCATGCAGGGAGACCGTTGCGGGACTCCATCCCGGAGCTCCAGGATCACTCTCTGGGCCAAAGGTAGACGCTCAACTGCTGAGCCAACCCAGGTGTCATAGGGTATATGACCATATCTTAAAGTTTCAAATTTAAAAACAAAATCTTGAGTTAAAGTAAAAGTACTATATTATTTTAAATGGAAAAAAAATGATGGATTCTCTATCTATTCAAAAACTCTAAATGTCCACAAATGTCACTAAAATTTTTAAGCACCTATATAGCAATCTATCAAAGCTTTTGTATAATATTTATTATAAAACACTTGGAACACACCTAATTTTTAAAATATTTAATAAATTCATTTTGGGATATGTTTTATTCAATAAGAAATGAGACTGTACAGTAATTTTTTAAAATTTAAATTCAATTTAATTGACATATACTCTATTATTAGTTTCAGGGATAGAATTTATGATTCATCAGTTGCATATAACACCCAGTGCTCATTATATCAAGTGCCTTCCTTAATGCCCATTACCCAGTTACCCCTGTCCCCCTCCCTGCACATCCCCTCCAGCATCCCTCATTTTTTTTCTAGAGTTTCTTATGGTTTGCCTCCCTCTCTTTTTTTTAATAAATTTATTTTTTATTGGAGTTCAATTTGTCAACATGCAGAATAACACCCAGTGCTTATCCCGTCAAGTGCCCACCTCAGTGCCCGTCACCCAGTCACCACCCCCCCACCCCCCGCCCACCTCCCCTTCCACCACCCTTAGTTTGTTTCCCAGAGTTAGGAGTCTTTCATGTTCTGTCTCCCTTTCTGATATTTCCCACTTATTTTTTCTCCTTTCCCCTTTATTCATCTTACTTTATTTTTCCTTCCATTCCCCTATGTTCATCTTGTTTTGTTTCTTAAACTCCACATATGAGTGAAATCATGATATTTGTCTTTTTTCTGACTAGCGTATTTTGCTTAGCCTAATACCCTTGAGTTCTCTCCATGTCACTGCAAAAGGCAAGATTTCATTCTTCTTGATGGCTGAGTAATTCCATTATATGTATATACTACATCTTCTTTATCCATTATCTGTCAGTGGACTTCTGGGCTCTTTGCATAGTTTGGCTGTTGTGGACATTGCTGCTATAAACATTGGAGTGCAGATGCCCATTTGAGTCACTATGTTTGTATCCTTTGTTTTTTTTTTAAATATTCTTTTTTTAAAAAAAAAAGATTTTATTTATTTATTCATGAGAGAAGAGAGAGAGAGAGAGAGAGAGACTGAGACACAGGCAGAGGGAGAAGCAGGCTCCATGCAGGGAGCCCGATGTGGGACTCGATCCCGGGTCTCCAGGATCACACCCTGGGCTGAAGGCAGGCGCAAAACCGCTGAGCCACCCAGGGATCCCTGTTTGTATCCTTTGGATAAAAATACCTAGTAGTGCCGTTGCTGGGTCATAGGGTATTTCTATTTTTAACTTTTTGAGGAACCACCATACTGCTTTCTAGAGTGGCTGCACCAGCTTGCATTCCCACCAGCAGTGTAAGAGGGTTTGTCTCTCTGCATCCTCGCCAATATCTGTCATTTCCTGAGTTGTTAACTTCAGCCATTCTGACTGATGTGAGGTGGTATCTTATTGTGGTTTTGATTTGCATTTCTCTGATGCTGAGTGATATTGAGCATTTTTTCACGTGTCTGCTAAGCCATTTGTATGTCTTCTTTGGAGAAATGTGTGTTCAAGTCTTCTGCCCATTTCTTGACTGGATTATTTGTTTTTTCAGTGTTGAGTTTGATAAGTTCCTTACAGATCTTGGATACCAGCCCTTTATCTGATAAGTCATTTGCAAACATCTCCCATTCTTTAGGTTGCCTTTTAGTTTTTTTGGCTGTTTCCTTTGCTGTGTGAAAGCTTCTTCTTTTTTTTTTTTTTTTTTAAGATTTTATGTATTTATTCATGAGAGACACAGAGAGAGGCAGAGACACAGGCCGAAGGAGAAGCAGGCTCCATGCCCGGAGCCCGACGTGGGACTCCATCACGGGTCTCCAGGATCACACCCTGGGCTGAAGGTGGCGCTGTACTGCTGAGCCACCTGGACTGCCCGTGTGAAAGCTTTCTATCCTGATGAAGTCCCCATAGTTCATTTTTGCTTTTGCTTTTGTTTCTCTTGCCTTTAGAAGTGTGTCCAGCAAGAAGTTGTGGACGAGGTCAAAAAGGTGGCTGCCTGTGTTCTCCTACAGTATTTTCATGGATTCCTCTCTCACAGTTAGGTCTTTCATCCATTTTGAGTTTATTTTTGTGTATGGTGTAAGTGGGCCAGGTTCATTCTTCTGCATGTGGCTGTCCAATTTTCCTAACACCACTGGTTGAAGACACCGTCTTTTTTTCCAGTGGATATCTTTCCTGCTTTGTCAAAGATTAGTTGACCATAGAGTTGAGGGTCCATTTCTGGGTTCTTGAGACTGTACAATATTGATTATGAATTAGGTTTTTTTCCACCACGCAGTGAGCAAGCACTGTTATAAAAATAAGAAATGGCATAATATGATTCCATCTAAATGGAACTCGGGTTGGTAGAGCCCCTTGAATGCCTGGCAGAAACCACTTCTGCAACCAGGATTTTTCTGTTTATCCCTGTAAATATCTTTCAGGCTCTCTTCTTTGATCACAGAGGGGTCCCCCTTCCTCAGCATCTATTTTTGGCAAGGCAAAACAAACTTTTTTAGTTTGTTTATTAGTTTAGGATCTGAATGTTATCTTTAAACTTGAGCAGCACCCTGGTTTCCTGCTTGTATTAACACCTTCTCATTTGGTTCTGCTTGTTTATACCTGTGAGAAAAGACCAAAAAGAGAGGATTAGAAATGTTACATTATGGAATAACAGTTAAAAGAATGAAGTGATCTATAGTAAGACCTGTTTTGGCTTATCTAACCTTGTCACAAGCTGTTGCAAATAAAACAAAGAGTATATTTTAATCACCTAGTCATTTCTTACTGGATACAGTAATCCATTATATTTTAACATTGTCCTTTTGTAATCATGGTGAACTCATATATAATGAACAGTGTTCAGACTGCTTTGGTTTCATTTTAAGTTCAACCTTTACTATAAATTCACTGCTATCAGATTTCTGTAATCTTTCATTTTTCTGCTTACCATTCCTTTGAGACTTCTAATAGTACTGTTTTTATCTCCCATTTTCCCCACGAGTAAGGAAAAAAAAAATCTTTCATTCTCTTATTAAATCACATTGCATCTAGGAGTCAAGTGAGTGGACAGAAAATGCCTGTTCAGGCTTTGAGGTAGGGCCCATTTGGCCTTTTTGAAGATCAGAAATCTGGCCACTGTGGGTAGAAGAAGCATGGCTAGTTGGGGGTTAGTGAATGGGTTTGGGTCAGAGATGGTCAAAGCTAGAACATGTGGAAGTTTGGATTTTATCCCAAGTGCAATAAGAGGTCATGGGTGGGGAAGGGCACTAAAGAGAGTGGGGATTATCTGGTTTATATTTGAAATTTGTGCAGAAATATGGCTTTTGTGCAAATGGTGGGAGCAGGAAGGAGGCAAGAATGAATGCAGGGAGACAGATTAGAAGGCTGTTGCAGAATTCTAAAAGGGAAATGATGGTGGTTTAGGATTAGGGTGGAGTCTCTGGAAAAGGAGAAAAGTGGACATGGGACATGTGTTGGGAGTAGAACTGACAAAAGGTACTAATGGATTGAATCTGGGAGATAGAAGTGAAAAGGAGATAACAGAAACTTCTGATGACTTCTAGTTTGGGGGTTTGTTCCCCTGGGTCAGTGGTGCTATTATTTGCTAAGACAAGGAAAACCAGGGCAGAGGAAAAATTGGGGGAGGATGGATTTAAGAGTTCTGCTTTGGCTACCTGAAATTTGAGGTGCTTATCTGACTTACAAATATACCTGCAATATATATGAAACAGTTTGATGGCTTTGGAGCTTGGTGGACATAGGCCAGGAATGGAGACTTGATAAGAACCTAGGAGTTATTGGTACATAGATGGTATTTAAAACCGTAGGTGGAAATTATCTTGGGTATTTGTCATATTCTTTGATCTGTACCTTGTCCATCCCTACTCTTGTAAAATTATGCCCACATCATTTATTTTAGGTATATATTATTAATTATAATACTATAATAATTTGCTTTTAGTAAGACAGTGTTGTTTTTAGTAAAACACTCTGATTTCTTTTTTTCTGTCTATAGCCAAATGGATTAAGTGTATTCAGTCACTAACATCACTTTTTATTGGAGATCTAACAGTTACATGTTCTGTCTTCTGTGTTTTTTTCTGTAGGCAAAGTCATTAATAAAGATTTGCGACATTACCTGAGTCTTCAGTTTCAGAAGGGATCAATTGACCACAAATTGCAGCAAGTAATCAGAGATAACCTCTACCTGAGAACCATTCCATGTAAGTATGAGATGGAATAAAAGAAAAGGAGGCCAATATATTCTTATTTAACTAATCAAACGTAGAAATAACTTAATTGAGTATTTCATATCAAATTGGGAAGACTCAGTTGGGGCACCAGAATAAAACAAAAATTGGATAAGGAGAAGAGTTTTCCGAGGACATGCAGGGCTTTTGTTTTTAATGTAGAAAAACTAGGAGATTTTATTGTTATCTTTAAAAACAGACATTAGACTTTAAGAGTTTAAGAATATATATGTACATTCTGCTAAGTAGATTTTCTTCTATAAATCAGTTCCAAATGTTTATTTGGTAAAAGTTTTTTTTCTCTCAGTGCCAAACATTTTTTGTATTAATTTTTAAGACATTACTAATTTTAAGTGCTCCTTTCCCAAAAGAAAAAAGGAGAAAATGCAGTACCTTCTTTGTAGTAATCTATGTTGAATTTTTATCTAGATGTTTGTGTATCTGTAGATGTTTGTGTATCTGTTCCAGTCTCCATAGTTTTTATAGGACCTAGTGATTGTTGTGGTGGTGGTGGTGGTGGTTGTAATGATGCTTGTGTTTGTGTGTGTGTGTTTTAACGTGTAACAAGAAATCATGAATGCTTGCATTAACTCAAGAAATCATGAATGCTTGAGTTAGCTCAAGGCTGGGGAAGAATAAACAGCAGTAAACAGTAAAAGGGCAAAAAGGATGTTCTGGTTTGTTTTCCTTTTCAAGGTATTTGTTACTCCTTGTAGATAGTAGCTCCTATAATGGCTCTGGAATTCTTTCTTTCTTTTTCTTGTTATATTCTCTTACACAATGTCCAGTTTATCACCAAGCCTGCCTAATTACGCTCCTTAAATAGTAATCCTTCTGCACATCCTTAGACTCTCACCTTTTCTTACTTGAACTTTTTTTTTTTTAAACAAATAGCAATATGTGGGGGCAAAGAGCTTGGTGAAAAATCTTGATCCTTGGACAAGTTACTTGATCTTCCCGAACCTCAGAATCCCCATATATAAAATGTGAATAACAAGAGACACCTCCCATAGTTCTAAGAATTAAGGACATGAGTGCAGACCACCTGACCTGGAGTAGGCCCTCGGTGTCTGCTCCTTTCCCCATTCTAGCTGCATCCCTGCCTTCCATGTCCCCTCTGTCTGATCCATCTTTAAGTGCACACCTGACTCTTATCTATGTACAGTTTATTCTTCAAAGTCTCTCATTGAGTATAAGTCTAGACTCTTTTTTTTTAACATATCTTTTTTTTTTAAGATTTTATTTATTCATGAGAGAGAGAGAGGGGGACAGAGACACAGGCAAAGGGAGAAGTAGACTCCATGCAGGGAGCCCGACGTGGGACTCGATCCCGGGACTTGAGGATCACGCCCTGGGCCAAAGGCAGGCGCTAAACCACTGAGCCACCCAGGGATCCCCAAGTCTAGACTCTTTAACAGGGTATAAAATGTTTTAGTTTTTGTTTTTAAAACCAACCTCTTAAGATTTTCTTCTGTAAATCTACCTGGTCAGATTTCAGAATTGCAACTCCTGCCTTCTTTGCATTGCTTTGCCTAGTGTGTCTTTGTCTTTTTATTCTTTCATCTTTTTGAAGCTCTTTGTTTTACAAATAGTATTGGATGGTGTGGCGAATGTGAAACTTTCTATTTATTGATGATAGGTCTTTAGTGTCTGTTGTGTCATGGTTTTCTATTTTACCCATATACACATCTTTCATTTAAAAAGCCTTTCACCATGTAGTCCATTGTATTTGATCTCTTTTTGGAAAGTTTTGCATCTTTATTCCAATGGCTGCCTTTATGCTTTTATATAATATTGTGTTCCTCCTCCCTTCCATTTTTTGTTTTTGTCCCAACCATGAACAATATTAAATGATCTACTTCTTGCTTCTTATGCCTTCCTTCTCTCTTCCATCATCTGACTTGAAATAATATTTTTTTATCTCAACAAATATAATTAGAAAGCTTATTCCACTTCACATGTTTTCCTTATTTTCACTGTTTTTTTCTTGAAAACTGTACTTTTCTAACACCTCTCCTCTACTAGATTTTCCAGGAAAGAGTGAGAAGATCATCATAGTTGGTCTATGGCCCTTAAACTTTTAAGTTTTTTGGATGTAGATGAAATCTTTGGCTCATATTTTCTTGCCTTGACTATTTTAATTCTTCAATTATCTGTTGTCTTCTGGCATAAAGCATTGCTCTTTAAAAGTCTGAAAAATGATTTTCATTCCCTTATAAGTAACTTGGTATTTTGCCTGCATGGGGTGTCTCAGGGTAGCATTTTTAGTTCCATAGCTCTAGAGCTCCCTCTTCTCTTGTTAAAACAAATTAATAAAAATACGTGTTTGTACTTTGTGCTGTGCTCTACACTTTTACTTGGATCCTCTTTTAAATTTACTTGTACTGTCCTAGTTTTGCAGTTTCTCCTCAGTGTGAGGTTTTGTCCTAGAAAGGAGCTATAGTTTATTTAGTTTTCATTCATAGGGTCCAAGCTGCTGCAGCCTTTTCAGATCCTAACTGGACCTATTAGCCTACACACTGACGTGTCCACAACTCCTCCAAGAACACAGTGATATATCATTAACAGTTAACACACCAAATGGTCTGTAATTACCGTTCTTTACTAAAAGATACCAAATATTCTTGGAGAAAATTCTGATTCTGGGTCTGGAGCAAAGAAAGTACAAGATGAGCTTGGAACATCTAATTGTATCAGAAAGTATGTAAATGCCTAAAACACTATGGGGACATATCAGAAGCACATTTTAAAAAGAAAGAAAGAAAGAAAGAAAGCCATCTAGAAGGAGTGCCTACTGACAAGATCTGAAACACTTTGAGTAGCAAAATTAATAAGTGAAGGAAAGATTTCTGCCATTGTCAGACACTGCACTGTTGAAAGGATAAGACTGTTATCCCTAATAGAAGTGGAAAGATGACTGCTCACAGTGAAGTCCTATGGTTTCCTCAACCTTCTGCCTGGAGCCACTTTCTGGGCCATAGTATGGGGAGGTAAAGGCTAAGCAGAGTACAGAAGATTCTGAGTCGAGAGGACAGAAATCTCAGTTCAAGAAGTCTGAGGTGCCTGAGATTTTCAGGACAGATGTCAGAGAGGAGAGGGCTATGAAGAAAAGGAGCTCAAATAATCCCAAAAGGATCAAGCAAATACACATATAACTTAACTATCAGCAAAATAAAAGTAAGGAAGGAGGGGAGGATGGGAGAAAGGAAAGGGCAGGGGGGATCAACACCCTTTAAAGGAAGATAACCAAATCTCAACACCAAATAACATAGGATTCATGATGCCCAGTGTCTAATAAAAATTATTAGATATACAAAAAAGAAGAAAATATGGCCCATAGTCAATAGAAAAGTCAGCTAATACAAAAAACAAAACAGAAATGGCATATGTGACATAGAAACAGGTATAACCAAAGCATTCATTTTAGAGTTTTTATAAATATACTCAAGGATTTAAAGAAATATGGATAAAATGAAGAGAAAGTGAGTTGTGTTTTTTTTTTTCGAGAACCAAATGGAACTTCAAAAACTCATGGATGGGCTTAACAGCAGATTAGAAAATGCAGAAGAAAAGATTATTGAACTTGAAGATACAGAAATGTAAATGAATCAAACTGAAACAGAGAAGAAAAAAAAACTGAAGACATTAGTTTTTCTTTTAAGCAACCAGAGAGAGGGAGAGAGAGAGAGAGAAAGAGAGAGAGAGAGTGAGAGAGAGAGAGAGAGAGAGATTTCTGCTTCTGCCATGAAAGACTAACTGGTACTAGATTTACCTCCTTACTGTAAACAGAAATTGGGCAATATACATGTAATAGCAATATACATGTAATAGCTGCTTTCGGAAATTGGGTCATAGAACAGCTCAATATGAACACTGTCAGAGCTAAGAGGGAGGAAATGGAAAGAAACAAATGAAGAAATAGGCTGAAATTTTCCCAAATACGATGAAAACTATAAATCCAGAGTTATGGATCTCAACAAACCCTACGCAGAAGAAGCATAAAAAGACACATCTAAGGATATCATAATCTAATTGCTGAAAACCAGTGATAGAAAAAATATGAAAGCCAGACAGAAAATAGATACATTTTATATACAAGGGAACAAAGAATGACTATAGGCTTGTCAACAGAAACCAGTACAAGCCAGAAGTCAATCAAATGTCATCTTCAACGTGCTGAAAGGAAAAACTGCTAACCTAGATTTCTACATACAACAAAAATATCCTTAAGAGAAATAAAGAATTTTTCAGAGGAAAAAAAAAAAAGTTGAGAGAATTTTTCACCAGAGGACTTGCACTGTAAAAAATAACTAAAGGAAATTCTTGAGGAGGAATGGAAATGATACGAGTGATAGGCCTGAAAGGAAACCGACAACTTCATAATTAGAGTTTAAGATTTCAGCACCTATTTAGGGAAAGTAAGCAAAAAAAAATCAGTAAGGTTATAACATGGATAACACTTTGAACCAACCTGACCTAGTTGCAATGTATTAGAACCTCTCAACAACAGAAGAATATACATTCTTTTCTAGTGCCCATGAAACATTTACAAATGAATACCATATTCTGGGCCATAAAACAAGATTGAATAAATACAGGAGAATTTAAATCATAACAAAATATATTCTGTAATCATAATGGAGTTGTAAGAAATCACTTAAAAAGAAATTATCTGGAAAATCTCTGAATATTTGGAAATTAAATAGCACACTTCTAAATAGCCTGTGAGTTAAAGCCACAAGGAAAATACAACATGTTACACATAGCATATCAAAACATATCAAACTCAATATTCCAGTATGTGGAATGTTGCTCCAACAGTGTTTATAGGGAAATTTATAGTGTTAAATACTTAGAAAATAATAAAGATCTCAATCAGTGATCTAAACTTCTTTAAGACTCTAGCAAAAGAAGACCAAAGTAAACCCAAATTAAGTAGAAGAAAGGAAATAGTAAAGATAGAAGCAGAAATC